GGTTAGAAACCTTCGCCTAATTTCGAGTCTAAACTTCCTAATAGCCAGCTTATATCCATTTGTTCTTGTGTCCACATTGGTATTGAGCTTAAATAATTCCTCTCCCTCCCTGGCATTTATCCCTCTAATATATTTAAAAAGAGAAATATCTCCCCTCAGCCTTCTTTTGGTTAAGGTAAACAAGCCAAGTTCCTTGAGTCTCCTTTCATAAGGCAGGTTTTCCATTCCTTGGATCATCCTAGTGGCCCTTCTTTACACCTGTTCCAGTTTGAATTCATCCTTCCTAAACATGGGAGACCAGAACTGCACACAGTATTCCAAATGAGGTCTCACCAATGCCTTGTATAACGGCACTAACACCTCCTTATCCCTACTGGAAATACCTCGCCTAATACATCCCAAGACCGTATTAGCCTTTTTCACAGCCATGTCACAATGGCAGCTCATAGTCATCCTGCGATCAACTAGGACTCCAAGGTCCTCCTCCTCCTCCGTTACTTCCTGATGTGTCCCCAGCTTATAACTAAAATTCTTATTTTTAATCCCTAAATGTATAACCTTACACTTCTCACTATTAAATTTCATCCTATTACTATTACTCCAATTTACAAGATCATCCAGATCTTCCGGTATGATTTCCCGATCTTTTTCTGAATTGGCAATACCTCCCAACTTTGCGTCATCCACAAACTTTATTAGCACACTCCCACTTTTAGTGCCGAGGTCAGTAATAAAAAGATTAAATAATAATAGTCCCAGAACTAATCTCTGAGGAACTCCGCTAGTAGTTTCGTTTCATTCTTCATGACTCCAGTAATCAACTCTGGTGAGCACTAAATTCCCACTCACCCAGCGCAAAGTTAAAATCTCCATAAAGTAAAACAATGCACAACATGGGAGCAACTTCATATTTCATGCCTCTGCCTGCAACCACAGCCCATGTCTCTCAGAACTCTTAAACCTCTATTGTGCTAGGCATGCACAATCATGCAGGTCCCTCCCTCAGGCCCAGCTCATAGGCATTCCTACAGCAATGAAATATCTGGGCATGAGCAGATGAACAATGACAATTACAGAGGATGCTACAGGAAAAAAGTTATATGAGTGGTGGGGGAGGGAGACCCCTTTACAATGAGGGATAGAGGCAAGGCTATGAAAGGAAATGTACTGGAAGATGGGACTGGGTAACCAAGGATGAACCACTCAAAATTGCCTTCTTCTATTCATTCCCCCTGAACCATCTGGCACCAGTCACGGTAAGAAGACAGGATAGGAAGATAGGTGGATCATTGGTCTGACTCAGCTCAATTATAATGTAAGAATGGCCTTCTGTTTACAGAAAATATCTGCGGGTTCATGGAAAATGAGTATCTTTTGTGCTGAGGTTTCCTTTGAGAGACCAGGGACTCATGACACATTAGAATGATAAGCACATAGTTTTCACCCTTCACTAAAGGTCACAGAATGTTCAATAAGCAATCCCTCCATCCACAAGCTGGGCAAGACAGCAATCAACAAGACATCCCCATATTGTGCTGTTCCAGCTAATCATTAATGCGGAAACTGTCCCTTTGGCTTGGCTCACAACAATTCAGTGCACTGAGGAGCAAAGGGAGTAATCCTTCACATAGCTATTTCAGATAAGCCTTGTTGATGAATTTAGCCTTAAAAAAATTAGATGTTTTTGCCTTTCCCATTAAGAACACCTGTATTTCTACAGAGATTGTAGAGAATTTATTTTAAACAAAGCAAAAGTGAACAATACAGGAATGGAATAAACATGCCAGACCAGTGGGATTCACCTTGCTAGCACCCTGTCTCTCTGATAGTGGCCAGTACAGGATACTTCCCAGGAAGGTAAAAAACTTTAAGGCTATGTCTAGACTGCAGAGTTTTTCCGGAATACCTCCAGTATACTGGAAAAGCTCTGCCGCGTTCAGGGAACACGTCTGCTTTTTTGGAACAGTTTCCAAAAAAGTGAGTGCATTCTTTCAGCGTCCCTATATTCCTCTCAGTGAGAGGAATAAGGGATGTTCCAAAAGAGGAGTTTTTTCCGAAATAGATGGCATCATTCTTGAAAAATCTCTCATAGGACGTAGCAAACCTGCACCAAACTATCGTTAAAAGCACACGCTTACTAGCCCTGGGTAGGTTTCTTCCTCCGCAGTCTCCTTCCAAACTTGCTCTTACCACATAGACAAAAGTGACCTAAAATTTCTTGATATGTTAAATGATTGCTTCTTGGAGTAGCCGGTTTTGGAACTCACAAGGGGAGAGGCTATTCTTGATTTAGTCCTAAGTGAAGCGCAGGATCTGGTTCAAGAGGTAAATATAATTGGAGTGCTTTGAAATAGTGACAATAATGTAATCAAATGTAACATCCCTGTGGCAGGAAAAACACCTCAGAAGCCCAACACTGTTGCATTTAATTTCAGAAAGGGGAACTACACAAAAATGAGGTAGTTAGTTAAACAGAAATTAAAAGGTACAGTGACAAAAGTAAAATCTCTGCAAGATGCATAGAAACTTCAAAGACACCATAATAGAGGCACGAGTTAAATGCATACCCCAAATTAAAAAAACACAATAAGAGAACCAAAGAAGTGCCACTGTGGAAGCAGAGACAGATAAAAAGATATCTTTTAAAAAGTGGAAGTCAAATCTTAATAAGGAAAATAGAAAGGATCATAAAGTTTGTCAAATTAAGTGTAAAAATATAATAAGAAAAGCCAAAAAGGAGTTTAAAGAACAGCTAGCCAAAAACTCAAAAATTAATAGTAAAATAATTACATCAGAAGCAGGAAGCAGGCTAACAACCAGTGGGGCCCTTGGATCACTGAGATGCTAAAGGAGCCCTCAAAGATGATAAAGTCATAGTGGAGAAGCTAAATGAATTCTTTGCTTCAGTCTTCAAGGCTGAGGATAGTGGGGAGATTCCCAAACCTGAACCATTCTTTTTAGGTGACAAATCTGAGGAATTGTCCCAGATTCAGATGTCATTAGAAGAGGTTTTGGAACAAATTGATAAACTTAATAGTAACAAGTCACCAGGACCAGATGGCATTCACCCAAGAGTTCTGAAAAAACTCAAATTGGAAATTGCGGAACTATTAACTGTGGTTTGTAACCCATCCTTTAAATCAGCTTCTGTACTGAATGACTGGAAGACAGCTAATGTGACACCAATATTTAAAAAGGGCTCAGTGCATGGTCAACCTGTGGAATTCCTTGCCAGAGAATGTGGTGAAGGCTAGAACTTTAATAGGGTTAAAAAAAGAGCTAGATAGATTCATGGAGGTTAGGTCCATCAATGGCTATTAGCCAGGTTGGGTAGGAATGGTGTCCCTAGCCTCTGTTTCCCTGGAGGTGGGTGACAGGGGAGGGATCACGTGAGGATTACCGATTGTGATCCCTTCCTCTGGGGCATCTGGTATTGGCCACTGTTGGGAGACAGGATACTGGGCTAGCTAGACCTTTGGTCTGACCAAGTATAGCCGTTCTTATGTTCCATGTTCTTATCCAGGAAGAGTGAGCTGGGATGGGACAGCACAGAGTAATGGGGTCTGGTAACCCTTCCTAGCTTCGAGTCATCAAATAGAAGTGTTTCCTTGTGTGACTTCTGGATAATAAGATTTGGAAAAACAGCATTGTTAGCAAACACTGCTAGGAAAGGGCAACTCATTCACATGCAAATGGCTTCTTCTGAAGATAGCCTAGCAGACTCTCTCTCACTCTCCGGCTACAGCCCCAAAACCCAGCCTGCTTCCCTCTGCATCTGACATGGCTATCCAAGACAACTTCCCAGTCCTCCAGTGTCCCCCATGAGGGCAAGTGACAGTTCTGAGGACTGAGCAGGGGGGACTCAGAGCCAGGGGTCCAGACTTTAAGCCTGGAGTGGTTCACCTTGGGCATGATACTTTTACCATTCCTTGCCTCAGTTTATTCCCCAGTCTAACAGAAGAGAAGATCTTTCACCTACAAGAGAAGAGAAAAACCCGAAGAGTTTTTTGGTGTGTGTGTGTGGGCGGGGAATATAAAGAGCACAGATTGCCTCCAAATTCAGCAACACAATATGCAGCATTTTCCCCAAGCCAGAAGCCCAACAATAAAGGTGGGGAACCTCAGGCCCAAGGGCTGGATGCAGCCCTGGCTAGCCTGGATCTGGTCCGGGGAGCCCAAACTGGTGATCCAGACCTCCCATACACAAAATCTGTTAACCTTAGCTCCCCAAGGCTCTGGTGTGTGAGAGGAATGTGGAGAATGTCTTTCTCCTTCTCAGATGGGGGCTGCCTCAGTGAAGGTTTGTTGTTTGTTTTCTTTCTCACTTGTGTGCAGCCCCCGACTCATTTTTCTGTGGATCAGCAGCACCCGATCCAAAAAAGGTTTCCCACCCCACCCTACAAAGAGAGGCCACTCAGTTACCTGACTGAAAAGCAAACAGTTCGTTTGTTTGATGGGAGAGCCTTTGACATGGCAGCCTGCCTATCCCGGAGGAAAGTCACAAGAGCTCTCAACCAAACGCAAGTGCTGAGGGTCAGGATTGCTGGGAAGTTTGCATTCAGGGAAGGATGCCAGCCACCTCATGATTCAGCATGCACTGTAAATGCAGAGCCAAAAAGGGACAGAGGCAGAGCCCCTGAACTCCACACATGTGGTTAACCGCACTTCTCCTCCACTCCCAACGCCCTGCTTGTGTTCCTTTAACCAGTTGCGTTCTCACTGGGAAAAGACAAGACCCACCAAGCTCCTGAGAGTACAGCCATGAAATGGAGCCCTGAGCAGGACTGGCTGAGTAGATTGGAGGGGGAGAAGGCTGAGGATAGCCATGCTGAGGATAAAGAAGAGCGAGAATAGGTGAGAGAAAAAAAGAAATCCCATTAGCAGAGAAAAAAGTGCCTTTCGAGTCTCTTCGACACCCCACCCAATCCAAATCACTGTGTGCAACAACAAGGTCACACAATCCTATGCCAGTCCTGAGAGACATGAGAGATTTGCCTTACCGCATGTGTCCGGCTGATCTGAACTGGGTAGGACATGGTGTGAGGGGGATAGCGGGGCTCAGTGGCTCGCCAGTTCTGTGTCACGGGCTGAGTAGATCCAGACATGTTGAAGTAGACTGGGAGGTTTGTCTCCTTTGACTCTCTGTCTCAAAAGAACTAGGAAATCCAGAAACTCCTCTTCGTTATAGGCCTTCCTACAACTGCAAGGAAACAGGAAAGCAAAAGATTAAAACTTGCTCAAACCACAGTCCAGCTAAACGACAAAGTCAAGCCACAAATGGTTTCTAAAACCTCACTGCCTTCTATTTTCTTAACAGGGCTATTCTTCACAAAGTACTATTGCCTGATTCCGTTAACCAAGGAATAATCCAATGAAGGCTGAGCTGTCAAGAAGAGAATCTACTGGGTGAAGGGAATTGGTGGGAAGTCTCTGAGTCACTGGAAACTGGACTGGGAAAGGCGCTGGATAACATACTTTGCTCATGAGCCACTGGGAGGTGGACAAGTTGACATCATTATTCCCACCTCTTGAGACCATCTTGTCTCTCTGCCGTCCAACCCTTCATTAAAACTTACTTCTTTCAGAAACATGGCTGTCTTGACTGCAGCACCACCTGAACCTTCCATTTCAAAACCTCGTACTTCAAGTGCCACATATAGTATAAGCCATATGCCACCTTTATTTGTGGTTACCTCTTCTCACACATGCACCTTTCTTTCCACATGTTTCTTCGGAGCCTATCATCCATCTGATGATACAAGCCCTGACCCTGTAACCCTCTCCCACAGAAGTAGCCTTATGCATGGAAGGCATCCCACAGAACTCAACTGCAGCTCTCAGACTGGTGTTTGCAGGAAGGCTATGCCTGTTATCCTCTTTTAAAGCCTTTACAAATGACAGTGCTATGTAAACATTACATCAAACGCCACACACCCCTGATCTAAGTCACTAGGACCAGTATCCAAGGAATCCACCACAGCACTCTTGAACAGAATGTCAGATGTTACAATTCTTTTTGCAGCTGCAATGAAAAAAAGCCCAAATGAGTGAGAGAGTTCCCTCTTCACGCAAAAAAAGAGATTTACAAGTTGTTGATTTTTATAGACACTTTCAGCGGTTTATTTTAAGAGGTTTTTAAGCCCCACTTTGTCAGGATTTCAACTTAAAATAACTAATTGTCTTAATGCTGCCCTTTATTCCTGGCGGTTTAAGAGGCATTAAGCATTATTCCAGTATTAACCGTTAATTATACAAAGCATAAATTTCCACCATCGCCTGGATTTAGCAAACATTGCTACTGCAGCAGTGAACCCTTTAGGTGAACAGCTGCAGTTTATGTGCGAAAGAAACCCAAGTGTTATTCCAACCCTTCTCGGCACATACTATCCCCTCTCTCCAAGCTATCCAGGTCTTAGCTGGGGTATTCCTTAGGGATGTAAAATCCCGTTTAATGAGTTAACTGATTAAAGAGAGAGTGAGGGGCTGACGCAACTCTCCTCCGTTGCCACAGACACGGGCTGTTCTGGCCAGGCTGGAACACCCCTGTCCATGGTGGGCCACACAGGACTGGAGCAGTCCCCTGCCTGTGGAGAACAGAGAGCCCCCAGTGCTCCAGAACTGGTAATTAAAAGTGCTGTCATATGGGTGGAAACTGGGTAACTATTGCATTTTATTAATATCAGCAGAACTGACTCAAATGGGTGTTGTGTAGTCTTGCCTTAATCTTTGTATTCATGCCCGTCAGTGTCAAAGAAAGAAGCTATCTATCTAACCTATCTATCTACCTACCTATCTAGCTAGCAGATATACAGACACATACACACACACACATTTGCATATATATGCAACCACACTTAAGCTGTGGCCCACAGCATGTGCTATGAGTATCATTGTGGCCCCCGGGGCTTCTAAAGTTGAGAAACCCTGGGTTAACCCATTAACCTTTCATATCCCTAGTATGCATTGGGCTTAAGGTTGTGTTGATGAATAGACCCCTGCCACCACCACACCGGGAGCAGCACAGAGCATTTACAGGACTGTAAATTATAGCTGAGCCCCTTTCCAACAGCTCCTGGCCATTGCTATAGTCAAGAGCACCTCATACCCAGTCCGATGTCTCTCTCAACTGAAACAGCAGTTGGCATGTGCCAATAACATAAAAGAAAAGAAAAGTGGGGGGTGGAGAGGGGAGAAGGAGAGAGAAGAGAGGAAGTTGGTTTTTCTCCTTGGGACCGCAGATCAGCCCCGACAATAAACTGCTTTGCTATCTGCTGAAGGCAGATAGGGTGAAGCCAGAGGCATGCCACTGCCTCGTTCGTTTGCCTGTCTCTAGGCATCCTTTGCAAACACATGCCAGCGGCGGCTGACATCAAACCATCCAGTGACCGCCGGAGTGCTGGATGCTGCACTGTGCTAGAAGAACCCTGGCATTCCCTTATTTGTTCCCATAGAAAGAAACTGCTGCCAAGAATCAACAGCCAAGCAATGACCACATTTGGGGGAGGGTGTTCTTACAGGTGAGCACTGCAATAAATGATAATCATCTGCAGGCCTCAGGCGCTCCCAACCTCCTTATTGTAAGTGGGTGATTTTCAGTAACCTGGGGGGGGGGGACACAGCCAGAGAAGGTTGTCAATGTCCTTGTAGAATCAGACAGAGAAGCCAGGAATCTCAACTCCCCAGTTCCCTGCTCTAATAAGTAAAGAACAAAGCTTCCCATTCATATTTGCAGCTTACTAACACATTGTAAAAGGAGGCTAGTTCTTTTCCCAACCCCTAGCATCCTGAGGCACATGTTCTTAAGGGGGGGGGGACACAGCCAGAGAAGGTTGTCAATGTCCTTGTAGAATCAGACAGAGAAGCCAGGAATCTCAACTCCCCAGTTCCCTGCTCTAATAAGTAAAGAACAAAGCTTCCCATTCATATTTGCAGCTTACTAACACATTGTAAAAGGAGGCTAGTTCTTTTCCCAACCCCTAGCATCCTGAGGCACATGTTCTTAAATTCCCACTACTGCCACCAAAAGGTAGACAATTTTACTGACCTGGAACTCAGTGCTATTCAATGGAATTCACCCTGCAGACCATGGGGGAACTTTAAAGTGCCTGAATGGCAGCAGTCATTTATTTACACTTCCATTTTGACTAACTTCTCTTTGCAGTTCTGTCTGGATGCCATGCTAGTTTTCACTTCCTGTCCTAAACTATGACATAGTGCTCCTACTGCCCTGTTAAACAGCTGGTTTGTTCATCCACCACTGAATCTTTAGGAAGAAGGAATTCCATGCATGGATACATATGTGGGAGCAAATTCCTCCCTGTTTATACCTGGGTAACCCTAATCAACTACACTAAGCTTGCCATAGGGTTGCAAACTAATCACACAAAACCTAATACTCTTGCCCTGCTCCTTCCCTGATGCCCTGTCCCTGCCCCACCCTGCTCCTTCCAATGCCACCCCCCACTCCGTCCCCCTTCCTCTGTCACTCACTCTCCCCCATGCTCACTCACTTTCACCAGGATGGGCAAGTGGTTTGGAGGGAGAGGAGGGAGTTTAGATGTGGCAAGGGATTGAGGTGCAAGTGGAGGGGCTACATACTCTGAGAGGAGGCCCAGGGATGGGACAGGAGATTGTGGTGCAGGAAAGGGTCCCTGGGAGCAGGCTCTGACCGGCAGGTGCTTGCCTCTGGTGGCAACAAGTCCCAGTCAGCAGCATAGCTGGGCTAAGGCAGGCTCCCTGTCTGGTCTGCTCCTGGAAGCGATCAGCACACTCCCTGTGGCCCATAGGCAGTGGATGCCAAGTGGCTTTGTACATTGTCTCCTCCTGCAGGCACTGCCCCTGCAGCTCCCCTTGACTACAGTTCCCAGCCAATAGGATCTGTGGAGCAGTTGCTTGGGATGGGGTCAATGTACAGTGACCCCATTTCCCCCTCCCCCTGCAGCCTAGGGTCCCCTTTGGGCAGCAACATGGGGCCAGGGCAGGCAAGGAACCTGCTATAGTCCTGCTGTGCTGCTGGACTTTTAATAGCTGATTTCCTGATTTGGTTTTGGGAGCTTCTGGGATATCAAGCTTAATTCCAGGAGCTTCTCAATGAAACCAGGAGGGATGGCAATGGCTGGCTCGGGTGTACACCCAGGCCCCCACAAGGGTTTGTAAAGCTTGCTGGGATGAAAGCCCTAAAGAAATTCAAGATCCTTATCCTTTCCTAACAACTAAACCAACCTCAGTTTGCAGCCTCCCAAGAGTTAATAAAGACACAAATGTACTGCTGGCTTCAGGGAGAATTGTGCCTTTAGTGGCTTTCAGTACATCAACTGCGCTGGCTGGACAGGTGGATTGCTCAATGCTATCATAGCTGCCTGTACGAAAGAAACGGGATGAATTTTTCCAAGTCAGATCAAAGTTTAAAGCAGCTTTAAAACACAGCACCAAGTGAGATGATGCAGCGTGAGCTGGTTTTAACACAGGGTGTTAAATGATCACCCTTAAAAGCATTTCAAGTTTGCCTATGCATCATTCGAGATAGCTCCTAAACTTCTTTACACGCTGTATTCAAAATACCTTGGGAAATTCATGGTCATGCTTTTGGGACACATCTTTGTCCCCAAGCCACATCTGAAAGGCCTATCCAACTTCCATTGAAAAGAACTACTTTAACGGAGAAACACTATGTTTATGATCATCAATATTATTATTGTTAAGTAAATAATTAATAATAATACTACCACCACTATCTCTCTCTTTTACAGGACTTAGGATTTCCATGTCTTGAGTCATACTGCACTGCACAGAAAATGACCAGGAGAAAAAAATGCTAAAAAGGACTCGAATTTTCTGCTTTGCCCTTTCAGGTATGGAACACAAGTTCTAACCCCCATCTACTAGCAGAAGGGAACAGATGAGCCACTCGAGATCCACAGCCAATCAAATCACCCTGTTAAAACAATCACACAGTGCCAGTTGTGTAGTTCACCAGGCACGTGAAAGCAGTACCGCAACATGCCTCCAATACCAAGAGCCACAGCGAACACAGGGTTTCTTTGCAAACTACTCCTTAGAGGCTGAATGTAAAAGCCAATACCAGTCAGTGGACAGAAGTGAAGCCTTGTTTAGACTGCTCACATACTTGGGTTCATTAAAAATAAGGAACCAGCCAAGCCCTCTTAGACCACCCTGAACTTTAAGATGAATC